TTTTACTGATGAGTAAATTGAGGCATGGAAAAATTAAGTACCTTGTCACTAAGGTCACAATGCTAGTAAGTGGTAAAGAAAATGAACTGCCAACCTTTTGGTTAGTAGCCAAGTGCTTAACTGTTTGCACTGTCCAGGGAGTCCTAAGGGATGAAGAAAGGTGAGCATACCAGGGCAAAAGAGGGAAGTACACTAGACTCCACAGGAGCTCTTAGTGATGTTGGCAAAGGGCCCTGATATGGAAAGAATGAGGGACTTTAAAATTCTCTGATTTGGTTGTTACAGCACACTATTTGCTGGTTTTACCTGAAACTGCTAGAATTTCATTTTCTTTAATTAAATTACACTGATTTGAAGATGGTGGTGTCAAATCAGCAATTACTGTTTTTCTTGTAAATCAGCCAAAGGTAGTAAGGAGAACAGAAAAAGAAGTAGCAATAGAAACCTTTTCTTTGAGAAAACTAGATGACAACTGAAGTCCAAGTCATAAAATAGGAGGAGATAAAGCAGGACAGTGGGAGGAAAAGACAGACGATGCCAATGACCTCAGATATTGGAAAGAATTGGCAAAGTGCACTTCTCAAGGTGAGGAACACTCTGCGCTAAGACCCAAATCTCTGTTGGCAAAAGCAGAAACAAGGTACAGAGCTCACAAATGTATCATTGGACCTGATTTGTCTCTGAGAAACAGAAGCAATGGGGTTGAATAAGGAACAGTCTGTTCATATGATGATTGCAGAAGAGAGGCTGCACTTGTGAACAGCTCATTAGCTGCCTGACAGCTAGAGAGAAGTGAAGGCTAAAGGAATTCACAAAATCTTAGGTTATAGGGGAAATTCCCACCAGTCTGAAGCATTGCGCCAATCATCTTCCAAATAGAAACTTCCTACAAATAGCTGGTTTAGGAAAAACTCACCTCATTCAAAGATGAATAATTAAAAAAGGAACTAGCACAAGTTACTTTTTATACAAAAAAGTATAAGGAAAAAATAAGGACACAATTGGGGGGAGGGGGGAAAACAAGACCATCCACTAGAAAAATGCTGCCATAGATTAAATTTGTGAGAAACTATTTTACCATAAATTAAAAAAAAAAAGCAATGGTCTCTTTAAAATAAGAGCGAGCCATAGCAGTATTATTCGTAATTGCCAAAAACTGGAAACAACCCAAATGTCCATTAACCGATGGATGGATAAATACAATGTAATATATCCATATAATGAAATATTATTTGATAAAAAAGGAATAAAGTACTGATATATATTACAACATATATAAACCCTGAAAACATTATGCTAAATGAAAGAAGCCAGTCAAAAAAGACTACATGGTGTATGTGTCCATTTATATGAAACGTACAGAATAGGCAAGTTCATAGAAACAGAAAGCAGATTAGTAGTCACCTAGGACTGGGGACATGGGAGGAAGGGTGACTGTTAATGGGTACAGGGTTTATTTTTGGGGTGATGAACATGCTCCAAAATTGATTGTGGTGAAGTTTGCACAACTCTGTGAATACACTAAAAACCATTGAGCTGTACACTTTAGATGGGGGAATTGTATAGTATGTGGATTATATATCAATAAGTCTGTTTTAAAAAAATGAAGAAGCTACTACAAAATAAAATACCTTTTAAACCAGAGAAAAAGAGCTTAGGGAATAAATGAGGAAAAGAGGACATGAAGAATGAGCTGGAAGAGCTCAGGAATGAGGTTAAAGGAAAAAGTAAAAGCATGACAGTGAAGCAACAGAATAGATGCTGCTGAAAAAAACAGCAATACAGAGGACTGGAATAAGAAAAGTGAGCAAAATGAAATAAAAAGAAATTAGAAGACAGACAAAGGTGATCCTACTTAAGTGTAATTGGAGTTCCAGGAGGAAAACTACAATAAGGAAAGAGAACAGATATATTAAGATAGAATTTTTAAAAATTCAGGACTCAAAGAATACAGGTAGTCCCCAACTTACAACGCATTTGAGTTATGACAAACCACACTTACGACAGAGTAGTCGTGGGAATGGAACTCCATTGTAAGGTAGGGACTACCTGTATGCGGTGTGATGGATTGCTTTTGTGTGGCCTTTTTTCCCATGGTCTTGTAACGCCCACCAAATGATTGGACGGGACTGTACAAATAAGGTAATTGTGGCCCACCAAGGGGATTGGTCACTTTTGCCATCCCACTAGGCTTAAAAGAGCCAATTCCAGAGCAGAGAGAGAATTTCATCAACACCAAGAAAAAGAGCGAGGAACGGAGCATGTCCTTTGGACCTAGGATCCCTGCACTGAGAAGCTCCAGGAGACAAAGAGAGAGACAGCTGTAACACTGAAGACAGTGAGAAGCAGTGGCAGAGAAATGGTGGCAGGAGAAACCAGCAGAGGACAGCGCAGTGGGATTTCCAGCCCACAGAGCGAGAAAGCTGAGTGCCTTCAGGCAGGAGCCTTGCTGGCAGAGTAGGACACCTCCGGGCACTTGGTGGAGCTAGGTTTACTGACTCACAGAACTAGAGCTGAGGCTTACTGGCAGAGTAAGCCTCTGGGCGCCTATCAGCAGAGCTAAAAGCTTCATAACACTTGCAAAGGCTAAGGGGCCAGAGAGAGGCGTGCTTGTGGGCATGGCTGAGAAGAGGCTATCGTTTTGGAAGAACTGTATCCTGAGCGTTCCTCAACCTAAATTGTAACCTATTATTTCCCTAATAAACCCCATAATTGTGAGTATAGTCTGTGAGTTCTGTGTGGCCATTGCAATGAATTATCGAACCCAGCAGAGAAGTAGAGAGTGCCATGGGCCGGACAGTTGGCGTCAGGATTGGTTAAGATGGTGGAGAGAGGAGGCATGTCTGACCTCTGCCTCATAGGAATCAGCCTGGCGCTGTTGATCTTGATTTTTCTTCCCCCTTGTGAAGTTAGTGGAGGTCAGATGCTACGCCCATGTCATTTTTGCACTGTATATAAATCTTCCTATTAAAAGGGCACACCATAGATCACAAAAAAGTGGCACAGAGGTCAGTACCCAGCCATATCCTTTAAAGGTAAAGAATTCTTGGAGCAACCAGGAAAAAAGAAAAAGTCACTTTAATGGGGGAACAAAATTGTGGTGGCCTCAGTATTCTCCAGAGCAACATTCAGCGTGAGAAAACAGTGCAACAAGGCCTGTCAAGCCCTCTTGCGACCCAAGAATTTAAATTTTCCAGGCAAACTACCATTAAAGTATAAAGGCAACATGCATCTTTAAATATGCAAGAACTGGGGGAATATTGTTCCCATGAGCCCTTCTTGAAGAAACTACCAAATAAGGAATCTGAGTAACTAAGACATAAAATATAGCAAAAGGGCTGACAATGAACACTGAATCCATTAACTGTGGCTCGAAGACTGAAACAAAGGTGAGACAATGGTTGTGGAGCAGAACTTAAGTGTTGTAAACATACAAACTGGGAAGGAAGGAAAAGGTAAGAGCAGAATAAAGACACTGATTTTCTCAAATTTTATAACCGCAAAAAAAAAGAAAAAAGAAAAAAATCCGTTAAATAAGAGAGGAATAATAGAACATTAAAATATACATGTCTACTTAGTGAATGGGCACTACAGCATAAGATAAAGAGCACATACTTTTGGGTGGGAAAGACCCAAGTCTAAATGTTGGCAAGTATTTCCTTTGTAACTTTGTGCAAGTTGCTCAACCTCTCTGACCAGTACATAGTTTCCTCAGCTGTAAATGGGAGATAATCAAATGTGCCTGAGGTTTGTTGGGTTTAGTGGAGCATAATAAATGCTCATTTATACCCTTGCAGGTCTTGCTCAAATCAATAACAAGGCAAAGTTGCTTCCGAAATTGCAGGCTGTCTAAGTTATTCAACCATACCTTTCAATGTGAGGTTTCAACAAAAAAGCCCCTGCTCCTGTAGGCCTGATAATTCACTAAAAATCATCCCGCTCTTCTTATTGTACCCTCAACCACACAGGTAAAGGAGAGGAACGCGCTCCTTAGGACAATCCCTTATACGGATCAAAAGGGCAACATTTGCCCAAAAGCAAAGATGAGAAGGTAGGAAGGGGTAGAAAAGCCGGACCAAAGGAAACGAGGAACCCAGGATGGAAATGAGGACAGTGCTGACGCATTGTGGGGAATACAACCAATGTCATGGAACAGTAGGTACAAACTATCCAATAGGAAACTCATTTGCTCTGTAAACTTTCACCTAATGCATAATTAAAAAATCATACAGGTAAATGTTAAATTTTGTTTACTATCTATTTACACGATCCCAATTTATATAAAAAAAATCAGAACAAAAGCTGGTGGAGGGCGGTTGAACGCCCGCGTGCCTCGCGCTGCTTTCTCTTTGTTTAAAAACCGACGTTTGTGCCGTTTCCCGGCAGCCTAGAGTAACCCTCCTCTCGCGCCAGGTGGTAAATATCGCTTTGGCCGCGCCGGGTCGGCTCTCGGCGGCATCTTCCGACCGGCGGCCGCGCTAGCGACCCGGGGACGTAGCCTGCGGAGCCGAGCCGGCGCTGGCAGGAGCCCGGCGGAGGAGGCCTTCCGGCGCCCAGGGCGGGTGGGTGTGCGGGCTGCAGAACCGCACCCGCCCAGGCAGAGACCACCCGGCGGCAGACCCTCCGCACAGGTGGGGCCCTGGAAAGCTGCGGGCCGTGGGGCCCATGGCTCAGAAAACGGGGCTCTCTCCTCAGTGAAGACTGTGACCCAAATCAGGGCCCCGCCGCCAGGGCGACCTGTGGCGCCGTCGTGGCCACCTCCAGGCCGCGCGGCGAGGCAGACACCAAGCGGAACGCCCTATTTGGCCCCTAAGACTAGCCGTGGGGGGAGAGAATCATCCATCTTTAGACACTAAGGCTCGGGGCGCCTAGGATTTTGTTTTAGTTACCTGACCTTGAAAGAGGGAAGGAGGGATTCAAGCCGCTTTCTGAACCTACAGGTCTTGCTTTTCTCACTAAAACCATCTTACTAAATCCTCTCACTTTACTTTTCTCCCCTCAGAGATTGTGTCATCTATGGCTGCCATGAAAACTTCTAACTATGGTGACCATTTCAGGCCAGAAAAATTAAAAGAATGGCCAGACCCCAAGGCAGTTTCTTTAATGGAGGTAAAACAACATGGCTTTTTAAGGCGTTATTTTGGTGGTAGGATTTAAATCCCTTAAGGTTAGGAACTACTATATCTTAGGAGCCTTGGTGGCGCAATGTTTAAGAGCTCGCTGCTAACCAAAAGATCGGCAGTTCGAATCCACCAAGCCGCTCCTTGGAAACCCTATAGAGCAGTTCTACTCTATCCTATAGGGTCGCTATGGGTTGGAATCGACTGGACCGCACTGGGTTTTTGGTTTTATATCCTCTTAATCACGGTTGTATCCTCCCAAACCGGAAGGGCGCCTAGCATATATTAGGCGTTCAAAAAAAAATTGTTGAATGGCAGTGGCCTGGCATCAAATTTGGCCGAGAGTGTAGTTAAGCGTCCATGTTCTGGGCTGAGGGGCCCGCAGGGAGAAAACACACCGATCCAACGCCCTCCCTGCAAGAAAACCTGGTCTGAGGAGGCTGTTGGACTGCTAATACTTTAGAGTCTGGAAAAGTAATGATCTTCTCGTAAAGAAAGTTTCATTGCTTTACATGATCCCATAATTTGCCTCGCTGTAAAGAAAGGCTATTGGTAATTTCCTGTATTTTGCCCCGCTTGCCGTGGCTGTATGAGTGGTAAGACGCTTAATTTTTGTATGTGTTTTTTATGTGGTGCCCACAGGACGCTGTAGATTTCAAGTGCTATTAATTACTAACATTTTCCTTATATTTTCTGGCAAAATCACAAAGAAGGAGCCATCAATGACAAAAACTATTTCTTTTAAAGTCTATCGCATGACTGAAAGGATCTATAACATTTGCCAATAGTGTTATTAGAATGGCTCAAAAAATATGATTCCTCAAGATGCTTGTCAACATGTAAGCTTTTCTCCACATAAATAGTGATTTATTCTAAATTTGCACTGTAGTATCAGAGAAAAAGTGTTGAATTGTTTTATATAATTTGTCAGCTGATATCTTAAAAGAAGTATGAGAAGGCTTTAAAGCAAGATTTTGTTTAAATTATTAGGAGAGCTTTTTTTTATTTTGGAGAAGACCTGAGCAGCTGCCTGAATATCATTTTAGATTTCATGTGAAGCAATTAAATATATGGGTAAAAACACAACTCTCCTTTTCAGGATTTCTTTCATTTACAGATTTAGTGTTTGAGTTTGTGGTTTGTCTTTGTTTTGATGCACTCTGGTTGGCAGAACAGAAGGAAGAGCCTGAGATTGAATAACATAGTTTGAAGAACTGGTATTATTTTACACTAGAGATAATTCTTTTAAGTAATATTATTTCTCTTCCAGATACTGGATTTTTAGTGCCTTGCCATTTGTTCCTACTTAGTCCTATAAGAATAAAACCTGGAAGATCGTTTCATATGATCCAAATGAAAAAAGCCCTAAAGTGAGGATTTAAATGCATAAGCTTTACCGAAACTCATAATGGAAACAGCAAGTCCCTAGATGTGAGACAGTGTGGATAGAGACCACTAGCGCTACTAACTAGCTCACAACTCTGGACCAGTTGAGCTAGATCGAACTTTCTGTGGTTTTGACTTACAAAGAAACCTAGCAGAAGGCAAGACACTTCAGGGGAACTTTAAGAAAACACCTACTGAATGCCTGAAAAGAGGATTCACTTTATAGAAGATCCCTTTAATTAGTAAGCTTTCTTGGTGTTTTAAAAATACGGTTTAATGATATGATGTCAGAGATTTGCCTCAAAATAATTGGAGGTGGAGGCAAGGGATTTGGATGAAATAAGATTGACTCTGAGTTGATAGTTGTTGAACCTGGGTGATAGGTTTATGGGGAATACTGTTTGAAATTTTCCGTAATCAAAAGTTACAAAATACGCTTTGAGGTACAGACATTGGATTTACACTAAAATTACTAGTAAAATACAGTGAGTGTTGTCATTTTGATTTATTTCTTCAGGATTTACATCCTAATTTTCAATTCTGTAATTTTAGGCATTAGCTAGAGAAGACATTGATGAAGCTGTACATGCAATATTACTTAGAGAAAATTATGTTGTGAAGGTAAGAGTTGGCTGCAGACTGTGTACATATTCTGTGTACATATTCTAAGTACATATATTCTGTGTGAGCAAGAGTGATGCCTAGCAATGTGATCAAGAGTTGACTACCATGTCAAGGAGATGCATTTTGTGGGGAGAATGAGGCTCCTCTGATTTTCTTGTTTATACTTCATAGATCTTAGGTTGTGCCACTCCATTTCAGGTCCAAACCCTCCTTCCCATAATTCCACCTGGATCTATCCTTAAAGGATCTGAGAGGTTGTTCTAACTGCTCCCCCTTTTTGTTCTAGTACTGAATAGAAATTCTTTCCTACTAGAGCTTGTCTTTTTCCCCTTATGTTCCCCCATCTCGGTGAGGATATATAAAGCCACCAGAAATAAATTAGTACTTAAGGACAATGACCAACCAGCACTGATAGTCATTAAGAAATTAATAAACACAAGAGTGTTTTAATTGCAGTGAGAGGGATTAAAATTAGGTGTTATAATAAAACTCTGATGTTGGAATTGTGATTTACAGTTTATAAAGGGAATTCACACATATTCTCATTTCAGCAGCAAAAGAGGTAGGTAGGATTCCCTTCCCGTTACAGATTCAAAGAGAGAGGCATTGGAGCAAGTCTGGTGCTCTTCTTCTACTTGACAATTTTGTCACAGAATTTCCTGATGATGAGGCAGAGATATGGAATGGGTGACCAGGGAAAGCTCTGAAATACTTAGGAAGAAAAGGTTCATAAGTCAGGAATGATTTAATGTGGTTTAATCCGAAGGCATGGTCATGGTTTAGAACTTTTCATCAGTCCTTCCTGCTCTGTGTTCTCAGGTTCTCTTTCTGAACTTTATTCTGTTCTTCAATTATTTTATCCTAGGACTTTGCATCCTGAATGTATCTGAGAGGTTAGGAGTGGGAACAAGTTTTTTCCCTCCCTTTCAAATGACAATAAATGGAAAATTTTATAATAATTTATTTTCCTCTTTTTTTATCACTTCATTAGGGATTAGATATGTATTTTCAGCATCTGGAAAATTTTAAAGAAAGAAGAAGAGAAATATTACATAAAAAATGGGTTGAAAATGTTGTAAAGCCTCTTCAGCAGAGAATTATGGAAAAAGTAATTTCATATAGAGGGCTGAAAAAAACAAAACAAGAGAATTTTGAATATTATTTACGGCATACAAATAAAACGGTACTGAGAGTTTTATTTTATTTTTTAAAATTAAGTATAATTTGAGGAGTTGTTGTGATTAGGTGCCGTCAAGTCAGTTCCAACTCATAATGACCCTGTGTACAACAGAACGAAACACTGCCTGGTCCTGTGCGGTCCTCACAATCGTTGCTATGTTTGAGCCCTTTGTCACAGCCACTGTGTCGGTCCATCTCGTTGAGGGTCTTCCTATTTTTCACTGACTCACTACTTTACCAAGCAGGATATCCTTCTCCAGGGACCACTCCCTCCTGATAACATGTCCAAAGTACGGAAGATGAAGTCTCGCCATCCTCCCTTCTCAGGAGCATTCTGGTTATACTTCTTCCAAGACAGATTTGTTCGTTCTTCTGGCAGTTCATGATATATTCAGTATTCTTTGCCAACACCATAATTCAAAGGCATCAATTCTTTTTTGGTCTTCCTTATTCATTGTCCAGCTTTCACATGCATATGAGGCAATTGAAAATACCATGGCTTGAATCAGGCGCACTTTAGTCCTCAAGGCGACATCTTTGCTTTTTAACCCTTTAGACAGGTCTCTTGCAGCAGATTTGCCCAATGCAATAAGTTGTTTGATTTCTTGACGTGAAGAGTTAGGACAGCATTTTCATGGTTTATGTAAACAGCTCCAAGTTTTTATTTAGGATGAATTCATTGAACTGCGTTAAAGTTGACTGCATTTTTAAACCTGGTTTAGGGTGGAGGGGATAGAGACATTGATGTGGAACCAGCTATATCAGGAAATCTTTTAGGTAAATGTGGCTTAAGTCATAAGGACGTTTATTGTTTATTTAGCAAGAAATCCAGAGGTAGGTGGTCTCGTGGGTTCTGGCAGCATAACAATGTCATCAGCAACCCAGGTTTTTTTCTGTTGTTTTTCTGTTCTGCTATCCTTAATGTTTTCACTTTTTCCCCTTCATCCACACATTTAGATGATGGTCGCTTACAGCTCCAGGTATTGGGTCTCTGTTCAATGCAGAAAGAAGGGGTAAGGAATGGTACTATGGGACTCACATCCTAGAAGCAAACCCCCAGCAGACTTCCCCTTTGGTCTCATTGGCCCGAACTGCATTCCAGCTCTAAGGACCAAGCTGTACAAGTCCTAGATATAAGTGGGACTGGAAAAGAGTGTCTGGCTTTCCTCTCTATAGTAGGAAGTAGGCAAGGGAGAATGGGATTACCTCGCCACTGAGTTAGCCAACTATTATGTATAGAGCCTGCGAGTTTCTATGCTTTGTACTTCAGTTTGGCTTTACAAAACAATCTCAAAATTTTGGTTTCTTATTTTGAAGATTTTAAACTTTGAAGTCAGGATCCTTTTTTTGAATTTCAAAAAAAACCTATTGTGGTCAAGTCAATTCCGAGCAGCTAGTAGATTTGAACTTCTGACCTCTTGGTTAGCAGCCAAACACTTAACCACCAGGGTTCCATTTAGGTGCACCTGTTTGTAGTAGCAAATTTAAATCTGTTGGCCTTATGTGTGCACTACAAGATCATTGTCCTCCCTGGAGTAGTTTAACTGAATTATTAGGGCATTAATGATATTTATTATACTTAATAGAGCCCTGGTGGCACAGCAGTTAAGTGCTCTACTGATAACCAAAAGGTTGGCAGTTCAAACCTAATCTGTGGGAGAAAGATGTGGCAGTCTGCTTTCGTAAAGATTACAGCCTTGGAAACCCTATGGGGCAGTTCTACTCAGTCCTATAGTGTCACTGTGAGTAGTAATTGACTTGATGGCAACGGGTTTGTTTTGGAGGAGCCATGGTGGTGCAGTAGTTGAAGCGCTCAGCTGCTAACCAAAAGGTGGGTAATTCTAATCCACCATCTGGTCCTTGGAAACCCTATGGGGCAGTTCTACTCTGTCTTATAGGGCCATTATGAGTTGGAATCGACTTGATGGCACACAACAACAACATTATATTTGCTGTAATAAAATTTAATACTTGGAGAAATTATCTCCATAGTTCTTATTTCAAGATATCCTTATGACAGCCTTGTGATATGGGTGTCATTATTAACCCCATTTTATAGATAAGAAAACAAACACTTAGGTGAAACTGGTCCAAGTTCACAGAGCTAGTTAGAGGCAGAGCTCAAGACTGAATCATGCTTATTCGAAATTAGACTGCAAGATCCTACAGTTGTGCCCAGAAATGTGACTGCTTAAGAGTAGGATAGGGAAGCCCTGTCTCAGAAACAGCATGTGTTGAAGTCCAAGTGATTTTGAATGACAGTGAGTCAACCATGTAATCTGGCTTCCTAGAAAACATGAGCTCTGTTTTCTTTGAGAAAGGTGTTAAGAGTGAGTCTGTGCTTAGCGTGGGGAAGCATCAGAGTCCTGGTCCATCTTGTCCTTATCCCCTTACTCCTGATGTCACACTGTAGAGGGGACTTTCACCAGCTGCAGAGCCTTTAGAAGAGGGTGGGGCTTTATAGAAGGAGAAGTGGAGAGAAAAGGGGTATGTAGCTCAAAGAAGAGATGGCACAAGGGGAAATGAAAGCTTTAAATGTTTGAAAGGCTTATAGGTTGATAACGGGTACGTGCATTTTGTGTTGCTTCAGGGGAGAAAACCAGGATCTGTGCGTGGAAATTACAAGGTAGATTTGGACTCAGTTTAAGGACAGACTTCTTAGTGGTTGTTCTTGTGTGCCTTCGAGTCTGACTCAAGGAGCCCTGGTGGTGCAGTGGTTAAGCGCTCAGCTGCTAACTGAAAGGTTGGCCGTTGGAACCCACCAGCTGCTCTGTGGGAGAAAGATGTGGCAGTCTGCTTCTGTAAAGATTACAGCCTTGGAAACCCTATGGGGCAGTTCCACTCTGACCTATCGGGTTGCTATGAGTTGGAATCGACTCAATGGCAACAAGTTTTTAAGGCACTCTGCCACATCTTTCTCGAGTGGAGCAGCCGGTGGGTTTGAACGACTGACCTTTTGGTTGGCAGCTGAGCTCTTTAACCACTGTGCCACCAGAGGTACTTTCTTAGTGGTTAGAATTACCAAAAAAGTACCTTCCCCACGGAGCAAAAGTTCTCAGTCTAAGGCTAGTTGATGACTTCAGACTAAAGCTGGATGATTACTTCTTTCAGGATGAGGTGGACTAAATTACTTCTAAGGTTTCTTCTAACCCTTTGAATTTATGATTTCATATAAATACGGAATAAAGTATTTGGATTTTATGAATCCTGTGAAACACTTTTGTATGTAGTGATTTTTTTTCCATAGTTGGATTTATTATTTTTTTTAAAGGAAACTGTATTTGGAAAACATTATGATCCTGAAGTATATAATCCTTTTTATATGAAGAAAAAGGACTCAAGATATGGAAAGGTAGAGTAGGTTTTTCCCTTTTATTTATTTATTTCTTAGAAGTTCTGGGGTTGGGGAGAGCCTAGTCATTTTAGAAGTCTTACAGATATTCTCTATTCATTTAAAAAAAAAAAAATCCACAAAAGCTTTCCCCTTCCTTTTAGAATAGGAACCCAAAGAAAGTAATTTTAGACTACTGGAGAATTTATACTGTGTGAACATGGCACAAGTGTGTGGGGTCATTCATTCATTCATTTGCTCAATTATATTCGGAAAACTTGAAGTAGAGAAGGGAGGGAAATGTGTGTGGGCAGCGAGTAGAGTGGAGGGTGTGGACGAGTGTGTGGTAGAAGGCAGTGCAGGGGACAGTGGGACTCGGGAGGGAGAGTGCCTCTCCCTGCAGGTACAAGGAGGATGTCAGGAAAGGCTGCCCGGAAGAGCTAATGGGTGAGCTTGTAACGAGGCTTCAGATTTTTCAAACTGCCGATACGTGAGTCAAAATGTAGAGATGTAGGTTTCAGTTTTACTCCTGTGTCACTAAAGTAGCAACTGATATCATTCATTAAAAAAAAAAATTTGTGTGGCTCTGAAGAGGGAATGGTTTATTTTGCTTCTTCCGGAAAACCAAGTCAGATCATTATTATGAAGAGAAAAAGGTTATCTTCGTTACAGGGAGGATCTTACTGAGTGGGTGTTGGGGGAAGCACATATTATGCTGCCTCATTTCTTCAGTAATAATTTACCTAGTGTTCTTGGGCCCAGCACTGGGTTAAGTGCTATAGGGGGATAAAGAAGGGAAAAAATGGTCCTTCTGTCTAAAGCTTACAGTCAGGATGGGGGAGAGAAAAAATATTTCTCAATAACCTCTGTACTCCCTTGCCCTTTACACACACACAGATGTTCATCCAGCTAGTTCTCACACGTCCTCCAAGACCAGTTGTCAGATTCCCCTGGAGGCGTTCTTCCTCCCAGGCTGGGCTAGGAGCATTGCGTTGAGATCCTAAAGTATCCTGAGCTGACTGCTCGCGACTAGATTGTCATCATGTTACTTGTCAGTTCTACTAGCCTGAGAGATCCTTGAGGGCAGGAACTAGCCCAGGTATGGCATGTGGTGCCGTCAGCAAATATTTATTGACTCACACAATGATAACAGTAGAACTCTGAACAGAAGCGTGTCTCTTCTATTTGGGCAACCCACCTTCCATTCAACCATTTAAGGCTCAGTGAAATATCCTGATCTGGGCAGGAGATATTTAACCTTCCACACTGCCCTGTGGATTGACAATATTCACAGGCCCTTATTCTTGGTGCTTGGGGTACAGTGAGGCCATACTTGAATGCTTTGGGCAGATTTTAAAAGCTTAGTATTCAAACTGCCCTCGAATCCTCAAGAGTCTTGTTTTCTCTAGGTTTCAGTCCCATCATTTTATGACCCTCTGTTTCAAGGACAGCAAGAGGCAGATGAAGAGAACAGAGCTATTCTCCCATGTGAGACAGGTACTTTGGGATCATGGGGCTTCGTTTTTGGAAACTGCTGATTGTCAGATGATTTCCTGCTCCAGGAGCAACTGGAGTTGACTTTAAGAGTGTTGACTTAGACTTCTTATCTTCCTGCAGGAAAACAATATTCCAGAAAAGAATTTAAAGAACTAGAAAAGACCAGGCTGCGTTCGAACTTGCCCCAGTTCCCTTTTACTCTGCGCAGTGTGATGCCAAAAGAAAGGCGGGAGGCCTTTGTGAGAACCGCGAGAAGTGAAATTCATAGTCCATGCAGGTGAAGATGAACAAGCTCCAGGACTGCTAATAGAAAAATATGCCTTTAACTTGTACTGTAGTTTAACACCTAATGCGGATCTTCTAACTAATTGCATTTTCTTCTTTTAGTGATTTATAGTTTTATTATTATGACTGTGTTCCCTTTTGTATTGCAAAATATACACAGAGAACAGAGTAAAATACAAACATAAACCTTCACAAATTGCCAAGCCAACCCTGTGAAATCACCACCCAGGTCAAGAAGTGGAGTGTACCCCCTTCTGATGACAGTCCCTTCCTTCCCCCAGGGCTGTCTTCACTGTTTTAAGTATTCGTTTCCTTGTTTTCCTGATAATGTTATCAGCTAATTTTGCATCCTTAAACAACAGAGTTTATCTTGCCTATTTTTGAACTTCATATAAATGGAATCGTATAGTATTTATTTTTTTGTGACTGACTTTTTAAAAAGCATCTTTATTAAGGTATAATTTACATACAAATGTATAATTCCATGTGTGACTGACTTCTTTTGCTCACCATTATGCTTTTAAGATTCATCCATGTTGTTGCATAGAGTTCCAGGGTATTCATTTCTGACTTGGATAGTATTCCATCGTATGGCTATGCCATCATCTGTTTAACCATTCCACTGTTGGTGGACATTTGAATTGTTTCCAGGTTTTGGCTATTATGAATAGTGCTATTATGAATAATCCAGCACAGTATGTTGGTTCCCACAAGCCTCATTTCTTAGGGTTTATATGTAGGAGTGGAGTTTTCTGGATCATAGGATAATTTTGAACTGTTTTCCAAAGAGGCTGTTTCAGTTTACACTGCCATCAGCATGGATGAGAATCACATCGCTCCATATTCCCCTCAACCCTTGGTGCAGTTGTTAGACATTTTAATTTGAGTGAAGTTGATGGCTGTATAATAGCATTTTCCTGATTACCAATGAGAATGAGTACTTTTCATACAGATCCCTATTGGCTATTTGGGTGTCCTCATTTAAGAAGTACCTATTCAAGACTTTTGCCATTTTTTTTCCTGTTAGATTGTCTATCTTATTGATTTGTAGGTGTTTCTCATATATTCTGGATATAAACCCTATTTCAGTTATATGTGTTGTAAGTATTTTTTCCTGTTTCGTTGATTGCATTTTTACTCTTCCTAACCAAACCAAACCCATTGCCATCAAGTCAATTCCAACACAGCGACCCCATGTGTGTCAGAGTAGAACTGTGCTCCTAGGGTTTTTTTTTTTTCTTTTTTTAATATTTTATTGTACTTCAGGTGAAGGTTTACAGAACAAATAGTTTCTCATGAAACAGTAGTACACATGTTGTTTTATGACATTGGTTAACAAC